TCTCCTTTAAGTGCAAAAGAGTGAGGAGATCCTCTTTTGTTGTAGAGTCCGGGAACGCCATCCTGACAAATACAACAAGCTGAGCTGTGTCCATTACATCCAGGGGAAGAAAAATCCGTAAGATAGAGAGAAAGAGAGGCGCTTGTAAAACTGAACATTAATCAGCCATTATGTATTTGTGTAATTATTTTTCTATTATTTTCAGGATCTACAGGGAATGTTTCAAAGATCGACTAGTCGATCGCGATTGACGGGTTGGCGACCACTGTATTAGAATATACGTGCTACATTTTGATTGTTTTATTGATTGTTGAACTACCTCCAGTGAAGTGTAGCAGCTGAACGTGGTGCAGTCAGTGCTCCACTCAGGCTACAGCTACAGTCAAGAACATGCGCATGCGCCGCTTTCCCAAGAGCGGCAGCCGCTCTCGCTCAAAGTTAAGCGCTTTTTCTCGTTTCTCTTTTTTAGTAATTATTAGTTTAGTAATTTAATTTACTTTACTGTTTTTTCTCTTGTACAGTGTTTATATTATATTAGTTCTTTCATACTCTTACTGTTATTATACTGTCTTTATACAGTTTTGTTTTTTCTCTATCCACTTTGCTGCTGTAAGATTGGAATTTCCCCATTGTGGGACTATAAAAGGAATATCTTAATATATATCTATACCTGTATATTGATATACTGTGTGACTAATTGTATTTGTTTAGAAATAGATATATATCTTATTTAAATATATATGCCCTAAAATATTCTGTTAGATGCTACTGACTGATCATAGAAATATTAGAGGAATTCCACCACTGTGTGTCTGCGACCCCCCTCGCTAATTGTCACTTTGATCGTGAAGGCGACCTTTTTCACAGCAGTCCTTTTTAGAATGAAATAATAGGGTCTACAACTGTTTACCCAATTTCATATCAATATTGCTGCTGTGAAAAAGCTTTATTAGTATCGTTAACACCTGTTTACCCTATTATTTAATGCCAAAAGGCCTGTTGTGAAAACACCTGTTTACCCCACTGTTTCAACCTTCATGTTTCTGCAGTAAGAACAAACAACGTGGAACCAAATCAATTTATTGATTAACTGTTGTTTACAAAGAGACAACAAACAACAACAAACAAACACAGAGTAAACGTCTCTGTTTCTGGAACATTTCTATATTTATGTCTTTAATAGTGCACAACAGAATATTAAAGCATACACAGGTGTTTAAATGAGTCAGCAAAAGTAAAATGAAATGAGACGACTGTTTCCCCATCACCATTAGAGCTATGCTGTATGATCGATCAGCAGCTGTTTGCAGGATGTGATTGTGTATGTGAACACCCTCCGTTAGCGACTCCAACCCTGTACTGAAGCACACACACTCAATATCACAGAGAATCCAAGATGGCTTCTTCATATTTCACTTTGCCTTTCTGAGGAACAAACAGGCAACCGGTGAAAAACAGGTCTTACTTTTAGTGTCTTTACAATTTGGTTCCCGCTGTTTGATTACCTCTTCATCTAGAGTATCGAGTGCTCCACATTTAAACAGCATCACAACTTCAGCAGATTAACCTCTAAATGACCCACAATGCAACACAATGAGTACTGAGAGCCAGCAACAGAAACAACTGATTATAGACAGATTATACACAGTAGAATGACAGGCAGAGTATGATAGTATTACTGTATATTACTGCATTATGACTGTATTATTACTGTAATATTACTGTATTACTGTAGTATTACTGTATTATTACTGTAGTATTACTATAGTATTACTGTATTACTGTATTATTACTGTAGTATTACTGTAGTACTAGTAGTATTCAGAGGTTTTGTCCTCCCTCTCACGGTGAGCTTGGAGGGGGTGTGGGGGTTTCCTCGCTGCCCAACAGGGCGACGTCGCTGTCGTACACTGACGCTGCACCGCACAGCGAAGCGCTGCCATCTTCAACCTCCACCTGGAGGTCAAAGGTCAAACCAAAAACATCATCATCATCATCTGCTGTTAAACTGTTCCGTCTACAGATTCATTCAGTCCCAAATACTGGGTGCTACATTTCCCATAATGCAGTTTGTAATGCAGACTGTTAAAAGGTAAAAATGATTTGTTTCTTTACTCTCTGGGCTGTAGAATTCATATTAATAATAATAATAATAATAATATATATATATATATAATATAGAATAAAAAAAGAGTTATAAGAGTTATATACATATATAACTCTTATAACTCTTTTTTATGGAATCAATT